AGTCCTTAAGGGACTTTAGACCTTGAACCACCAGATTCGGGTTTCACGGTCACATCGGAACAAAAGTCATAAAGGCTGTTTGCCAAATATTTGGTCTGAGGATGTAAGACTGAGAGGTCTGTTTGAGATCGAGTGGAGCGGCGTCTCTTCTCCTCCGTTTTTGTATATCGCACAGAAACCCGTTTGACCGACAGCGTTGACAGAACAAAGTAACACGAGAGAGTGATGGCGCTCTTTTTCCACAACAGAGCGAGCTTCGGTTTATGTCTGCGGCCCGTAAACAAGCCGGGGAGAATTCAAGACTCGGAGGTTTGTTTACGGGGCGCCCGGCCTCCTCTTCAGCTGGCTCCTCTCCTCTTTGTGTCTTAAGAGTCCTTGGAGTGGGTGTTGTATGAAAAGGCCTATTTAAAAAGGACCTGAGGGACCCCCGACTCTCCCCAACAGCTGCCCAGCTGTGCCCCCTCGTTGCCCCACTTTCCTAACGCTACCATCCAGCTGTAATGAAAGGAGTCTTTTCTCTGGGTCCTCGGGGTGACGAGGAGGTCAGTTTTCAATCTGTGCGAGGTTACAAAGTCGCTCTTATGAAAATACACGCCGACACTTTCCGTCTGCTGCGAAAAAATTCCTCTAATTCCTCCTGAAGTGACGCGATGTGGCGCGAATGTTAATCAGCAGATGAAAAACCGCCCCTCATATCAGGAAGATTAACGCCGATTTAACGCCACTGCGCCTTTTTCTCTCTCTCTCTCCCTTCATGCATTGTGTCACCCCTCCTGCCTCACCCTCGACATCCACTCCCCCCCCGCCTCCTTCCTCATCCTCTTTCTTCCTCTCCTCTTCCTCAGGCAGGAGCGGCACATGAAAGGGAGAGCGAGCGAGCATGAAAGGCAGCGTCTTGGCAGTCAAGTTGACCTCCAGGCTCTTTTTTTCCTCCTCGTCTTTTTTTTTTTTTTTTTAAATCCGTAGCCTCCCACCTTTTCACCTGTGAAGCCCTCCACCTCGCTCCATGTTCTGCTCCTCCAACACCTCCCTCAAACCCTCCTCCTCCTCCTCCTCATCTGTGGGTGGGATTGAGAACTTTTAAGAAAGGTGATTAAGACGGCAGCATCTCTTTATTCCCTGTTTGGGCACCAGAGGGAGAGTCTTAATGGGCAGGTTTTGTTGATCTCAGAGGGGACTCTGGAGTGGTTTTTCTCTTTCTCTGAGTCTTAGAGAGAAGGATCAGTCCACGAAAGCGGGGGATGGGAATAAATATTACTGAAAGTTGCTGATCCGAGTGCAGAGTTAGCAGGAAGTGAATGTACGGAGGTGAAGATCTTCTCAGAGGTGAATGATGAGAAGAGGCCGTGCAGAGTTCAGCAGAATATTCCAGTTAGAAAAAGCCCAAAGCGTAAAAAAACGCCTCACATAAACTGGAATAAATGGACCTGAACCGAAGTAAATTCAGCGAGTCATTAGTTTGGTGTAGAAATGACACAGGGTTACAGTTTAACTCAGCTGATGCATGTCCAGAAGAACATGAACGTGTGTTTGCAGGTACAAATTAGTCTAATTAGGTGGTATGAACGTGCGAGCGAACCGTCCAGATCAAACAAACGGACCATGGTCCTCGGTCCTCTTCCAAACCAACCATGGTCAGGTCTGCGGCGGGTGTGAACGGAGCGCTGATGCAGTCGGACTTTTTATATGTCAATATAAACCAATAACACATTTACGCTGTAATAAAGACGAGAACTTAAACCTGACCAGAGGCTGCAGCAGACGGAGAACAGACGGTCAAAACACCAGACTGTCCGTAAAACTGGACAAATGGCAGAGGGTTTGTGTCCTAATATCATAGTCAGGTTATAAATATTAAATACCGGAGTATTAGCCTTTACCTCTTTGATAGTAAGACGCCATCTTCTTCTTCATTGTAAGTCTACCAAGTGACCTTCTAGTACCAAATTGCCGAGAGATGTTATGTCTTATTTAAAATTGGAAAAAAATCAGATATTCAACTAAAAGCGATCTAATCACATTTCAAAGAAAGTGGAATCCCTTCCTGGCCTCTTTTGACACCACCTAATCTTCAAATATTGAATGACTAGCTCCCCTTGCTCTCTTCCCCTCTTTTCTCTTTCTTACTTTCTCTTTCCCCCCTTTCTTTTTCTATCCTTCTATTCTGTCCCTTATTTGATAATTGCATTCTATCCTGTTTAAACAGAAGATTATCTCGTGTTTGTCGGATTATATTTTTATTTTGTTTTCTTTTTTATCGTTTGTTAAAAAACAAGAAAAACGAAGGGAGGTTGGCAGCAGACGGAGAACAGACGGTCAAAACACCGGCAGAGGGTTTGTGTCCTAGTACAATAGTTGGGTGATAAATATTAAATACCTTGGTGTTCAGATTCAGATTCAGATTCAACTTTATTTATCCCCTAAGGACAATTCTGTTCACAGTTACCCTGCCGTTTGATCCGTCCAAACTCACAAATCAGCAGACAAACAAACCAGACAAGTGCAAGATATGAACAGCAGCCAGTAGACGACCACATTCCCTTGTCAGTTCTCACAGATCAGCAATAAAGAGTTAAATAAGTGCAATAAGCAGTCAAGTTCCACAGAGCAAAGGTTAAAATACAATAAGAGCCACAAGTATGAAAAACTCCTGAAGCTTCAGTTCAGCACAGACCACATGTGACCATCAGCCGACTTCCTGATGGCTGAGGGGATAAAAGAGTTTGAGTATCTGTTCGTTTTCCTTGGGGGTGCATAGTAGCGCCGCCCAGAGGGCATAAGAGGAAAGTCAGAGAGCAGAATTCGCTTCTCCCAGAGAGAGCTCTGGTCTGTCAGGTTTGTCGTTCTTCTGTTCAACAAACACGGTGACGACGTGTTAAAGGCGTTCCTTTTCATTAATGCTCGGCGTCTCCTCGCATAAAGTCTCCGCCATCTTTGGTGTATTGAGTGAAGTAAGACGTCTACTGTTCTCTCTGGTCGGTGACTTTCTGTGTGTTGTGGGACGATGAAGATTGTGCCCTAAATGAGCGGGTGACAGATACAGATTTTTCCTCTTTTTTTAGCCTTTTGATTCCCTTAGCAAACGTCCCATGTGAACGCTAACGGTCCTTGATCCGGACCTTCTAAGTGGACTTTAAGAGAGAAAGACCCCATCGTGACAGGGCTGCATGTGGAGAAATTTATTATAGAACAAAGACAGACGTGGATGAAAACACGATTCTGGATAAACCTGCAGAGCCGAGGAGGTGAAAACTGCAGCATAAGAGCCACTTTCTGAAAGGTGGAGCTGAGTGTCTACTTTCTGACGCCTGCAAGGGCAGTCCTTCGCTTTGAGGCGCGTTCAATGACGCTGAAAACGCTGCACTCAAGGTTCTCCACTCTGAACATTTAACAGAGTTTTTGGAGCACAGGCCACAGATTTTTAGTCGACAGGTAGTGGTGCTAAAACCTTTTTTAACTCGCACCAAAACTTTGAAAAAGTTGACGTCAGTTGTGGAGGTGCTGCCCCGTGGAACCATGATACACTTGGGTGACCATACGTCCTTTTTTACCCGGACATGTAGTCTGTGTTTGTTTTGGGTTTGTGTAGCATGGACCATGGACTGGAAAACTCTCAAAATTAACTACGCGAGACTTCATGACTCCGCCCCACTTAGTCATGTCCTCTTTTTGGGGATTTAGAATATTGTTAGGGACTTGAAACAGATCTTAAAATCACCCGTTTAAGTGTCTGACCGTCTTTCAGACGAGCTGGTGTAATCAAGAATGAAATCGTGTTTTTGTAGGATCTATCTTAAAGTTTTTTACGCGTGAACGTGTTTCTGTGCCGTCGTCCTGAAAATAAAACAATTGTCGTTTGTGATCCTCTTGTTTTTAAGTGTCTGTCTGCCTGTGGACAAGAAAAGACGGTCGCTTCATCCTAACTGACTTACAAGTGTGTAAAAAACACTCGGCCCGACCCGTAAAACCCTCAAAATTTACTTCACGCAACTCTGTGACTCCGCCCCCTGTAGTCGTGTCCGTTTTTTGGGGGATTCAGGATATGGTCATTCATGGTACACCTCAGAAAAAGACGAAGTTTGAGAGTAAATGAAAATGTTAGACTAAGATGAAGTTTAGTCGTTAATTTGGTCGCCGCTACAGTCTGAACTCGCGTCGTCGCCGTTAAAAGCCGCAGATGTCCGTCCAGCTGTGAGGCGAAAAATCAGGAGCAAAAAAAATAAAAAATGCAAACAACTGGATGAACTCAACATCCCATCCCCACGTAGCACCTGTCAGCCTGCTGGTTGCTAGGCAACAGCTCCCCTCGCCTCTCTCTCTCTCTCTCTCTCTCCCTGATTAGTCTGTTTTTTCTCTCCTCTGCGCTCGCCCTGAAAACCTAACCTGGCGTTCTGCTTAGCAAAGGAGGTTTTTATTACCTCGGGGACGGTATCGCATTACCGCACACAGAGAGAGCGAGCCGCGGACGCCGCTGTGGTGTGGACAGGTTTAGCACTCAGGCTAACGAGGCTTGGAACCGAGGGGTGTTTCCCTCTCTCTCTCTCTCCCCCTCACCCTCCTCTCATAGAGATGAACAGCGAGGCGCTAACAGCCATAAGAAATCAGGCATGGAATTATTCAAAAAGCAATTCAGCCCAAACAGTGGGGAAGATATGGAGCGGGCCTTTCACTGAAGGAGGCACCCACAGCCTCTCTTCAGTGATTAAACGCCGCAGCCTCGACACTCGGGCTGCAACTTTTCAGCACACAAGTCATGATTTAACAAGCTGGCATAATCAAATTTGCTGAAACGTCCACAAAGCAGAGTGATTTCTGTTGAAGAGTCAGTCAGACTTTCACTGTTTTTAATCAGAGCTCGATTGTAAGATCTTAAAACACACTCAGACTCGTTCAGCACGAGTTGAACAACAATTATTTGCAGATATAAAACTTTAACCTCCGGGATAACCATCACACATGCCGTTAGATAACAGGCACAGAAACCGGAGCTCGGAGAGAAAATGTGCCCGTGCTCGGTGGAGAAAAGCCTCTTTTATGCTCTCAGCCTGATGAGCCAAAGAGGAACAGCTGAGCGGGCAGCTGCTCGCAGAGATGATCAGCTGATGAAAGGCAGGTGTGCAGAGGAATCTGCCTCCTATATCTATAATCTCCTTAATGCAGACTTTACAGAGGCCTTTTAGAAAAATTGCCTTTGCGTCCGCTTCTTGTTTTGCCATATGTGACGTCCCGCCGTGCAGAGCTATGTGAGGTTTAAGAGATTGAAGACGACAGGAATCATGTGTTTTAGCTGCACCAGTGAATGTAGGATGACCGTACGTCCTCTTTTACCAGGACATGTCCTCTTTTTTGGGGGGCTGTCCGGCCTTGCCCGGGGGACTTTTTTGGAGTTTTAGTCTGTTTGTCAACAGGTAGAGGTGCTCAAAACTTCTTTGCAGAAAGTTGACGTCAGTTGTGGAGTTGCTGCCCCCATGTGGCCAGGAATAGAAAACGATGTAGGTAAAGGAAGCATTATACACTCGGGTGACCATACGTTCTTTTTTACCCGGACATGTCCTCTTTTTTGGGGGACTGTCTGCCCTTGTCCAGGGGAGTTTATAGAAACCTTCAAATGTCCGCGGTTTAGTACGGAAGTTAAGAGTTTCTGTCACCTGGACTAACTGAGTTGGAAGCGTGTAAAAAGCACTCACCCTGACCAAAAACATTTTAAACAAAACTACATTTACTACGCGTGACTCCATGACTCTGCCCCCGCTTAGTCATGTCCTTGTTTTAGGGATTGTGGCCCCTTTTATACATACCCAGTTATTATTAAAAACGCAGACATTAACCATCGTTTGCACCCTTCGTTTAGACGCAAACGTAGAATTTCCCCCCTGAAAACGATGCTTTTGAAGAACTCCAGCGAGAGAGGAGATTTTGGAAAACTCTGAAAACTCTGTAAACGGAGAAAAACTGAGAAGAAGGAAGTGACGTTGTTGTCATTGCTGCTATGTGGGATTCTGATTGGCTTACATGGGCTTGAGCTTCCCGCTACACTGCCACCTACAGGTTTGGCATGCTCTTGACGGCATATATACACGGATAGTGGTGAGCACGCAGGCTTTCTTGAGAGTTAAATGTCTGTTAATGAAAATAGGCGGGCACGTGTAAACATCGTCTCAGAATGTCCTACTTGAAGACTCTTGAAATCCACAATGTGCAGTTTTTGTGCGACTGCGTGGTTTTTTCTTGAACAACCGGTTTTGTTAAACGGTTATCTTCAGGTATGAGAGTCCAGCTCAGTCTGAGTAGTAAGGCTATTAGCTTTAGCATCATCACATCTTTGGCCGTTCTTCCTCACATACAGCACACACCCACCCCTCAGATTTGATGCGTCATTAACTTCACCAAATATGCTTTGGCAGAGACTTAATTACCGCCTGGATTATCCTCATTAGTAACAATATTTCAGCCGAGAGAGTTTTAATTTTCTCCGTCGATGTCACTTTGTGTCAGCCGGAGCTTTATTTACTTCTGCAGATTAGTTCCATATGAGATTTCAGGCTTAAGATGCAAGAAATAGAAGAAAATTATGAAGATTTTCTTTATTTAAAGTTTTAGTTTCCTTCATTTCAGACTCATAGAGCAACAGTTTTGATTCACTGACAGTAAGATGACGATGATGCACCTGCAGGTTGGGTCATTTTGCAGCAGGACTCTTCTCCTACAGAGCCAGAACTGTCAGGATGTGGTTTGGGATCATCTGAAGGTCTTCCCTGAAAAACGTCACAGTCTGGATGACAGCAGATGTTGCTCCTAAACCAGGAGAGATTGGTCAGGATTCATTTTTGACTTCTTGTCCAGCCCAGATAGTTTCCTCACCGACAATTTTTGACGAGATTTTAGGCCCATGCGGTTGTTTCCACCACAGAGCCATGTTTGTTTTTTAATGCATTGACCTTTAAGATTACAGCTCTCTCTTATTGGTTCACTGGTTTGTTTCTTCTGTTCTGAAATTTCTGATAAAATCTTAATCTCCGCAGTTTCAGGCAGATTATTCTGATATTCTTGGATTATTTACTCACGCAGTCTCTCACAGGAAGTGGAACCTCTTTCAGGTTTTGCCTCTGAGACACTCAGCCTCCCTGGTTTTCCTTTTTTTATACCCTGTCGTATCAAATGTCATGTCTCGTGCCTCCAGGCCACCGTAGACTCCCCAGTTCCCATACACACCAGTGTAAACAAACATGGCGTTTGCAAAAGACGGCGATAATTTCGTGGTTAAATAGGACAAGAGCGAGTCAGTCGTGTGGAATTGGTACGACTTCACAGTTTCAGATGAAGAGCAAACCACTCCCTGCTGTAAAGTCTATCTGAGGGCGAGATCAACCCGTCCACAAGGAAACTAATTCAGGAGTAAATGCAAAAGTTTTTGTCCTAACGGTGATTCATTCACACGGAAATGACGACCATTTCATCTCTGTGTGGATGTCTATCTGCATCTCTGGAAACGATCATGTGACACACAGCCTAACTCTTTTATGGCACCAAAACAACCTTTATACACATGATCCGTACTCTTCTTCTGTCTTTTGTGCATTTCCTCTGCAGCGTTACAGCGCCACTTACTGGCTTGGCATATGCACTCCATCGTTTTCAGTGGTTTTGAGACTAAATCGAAAATTTTGTTTTTACAGAAAAAAAAAATCAGGATTATATTTTTGGCCAAATCGTGCAGCCCTGAGTGATTTATCATCCCTTTTTTAACTTCTGTTAAATCATTTGAGATGTTAACTTTGTACTTAATGATCTAAAAACCATCTCAATCTGTTTTTATCAACACTGAACTCAGCGTCCCGACCTCTCTGGAGTTGTTGTTGTTTCCACTCTGAACAAATCTGCTTCTCCTTTAAGTTGCACCGTTTGCATCAAACAGACATTCCTGCGCTGGAACTGAATAATAGTTACAAGCCGCCTGTGTTTGCTGCTCTCACATCATCATCATCAAACATGTGTAGCTCCTTGTATCGTACAGTTGCAGGTGTCTCTCTCACTAATGGTCATATTGTGCTCAGAGCCTGTGAGACGCTGATAGTCTCATACTGCAGTTTTGTGTTGTTGAAAATGAACCTCATCCTGCTGCGTTTCAAACTCAAATGTTTTTGTCTGACTCAGTAAATTTCTTTTTCCACATTTTAGTGTTTTTACAGCTGGGAATACATTTAAAAAAAAAAAACAAGACAAAGAAAACCAGCCGGTCAACATTTGGTGACGATTTTTCTGTTTAATTCAGCGTTGATAAATAAAACGCTCGTCTTTTGTAGATTTTACAGCCTATTAACGGAGTTTTTCTGCTTCTGTGGTCCCAGATGTGGATCTGAAGGTGACCGGGTCGTCTCCGGTCAGATAAAGAGGGTTCAGCAGGTGGAGGATGTTTGTAGATACGGGAGCGAAGACGTCAGGGAGAAGGTTCCAGATGTGATAATTGTTCACAGAGGAGAGCGAGACGAGGAAACCGAGAAGGAAGTGAGGAGAGTGAGGAGGAGGAGAGGAAGCATTAAAGCGAACAGTCGGGGGTCGGGGTAGGATAGAAGTGTGTGTGTGTGTGTGTGTGTGCGCGCTCTACATTGTTCCAGGTCTACATCGTCACAGTACATTGAATTCTCCAAACCCTCTCTGACCTCTTTTTTATCTTCTCCTGGTTTCCTTTCATCTCCTCATCTCCTCCTGCTTTCATCCTCACCTCTGGTTTCTGTCCGTTCAGCTTTTCTCTCTCGTCTTTTTATCCAGAGCAGAGTGATCGCAGGGATGACTTAATCAGTTGGGTGGTCTCGTCCTTTAATGCGTCTATCCTCCTGATATTCTCAGCTGTTTGTCAGTCTCCTTGTTTTTATCATCCCTCCTGACCTTTTCTCCTCTCTCCTCGTCCTTGTCATTCCTTCATCCTCGCTCTTCCCTCCTTTTGTCTCCTCTGACATCCTTCTCCTCCTCCTCCTCTCTCGAGTTTATTTCCGTCCTCCTTCTTCCCTCTTTCTTGCATCCTCTCTGTCTTCGTCTCTTCTTATTTTTCTGTGCGCCGCAGCCTTCAGGAAGTGCCTGGTCAATGGGAACTATTGACCAGGCCCGGCTCTGGCCCGGTTGGGCCTCCTTGGCCACGTCAACAGTTGTCTTGGAGAGGGACAGCAGCAGCCAGAGCTGGCAGTCCTCCCGCCGTGCTCCTTTGACCCGGCTCGGCCCGGAGCTGCCGGGCTGCTCGCTTCCAGCTCAAACAAGCCGGTCCAGAGCCAGCGGTGGAGGATGTGTGTGAGTGTGTGTGTGTGTGTGTGTCTGGGCTGCTTAGTTGGCTGGCTGAGTTCAGTGTCACAGCACAATAAACCCTCTGGCTGGGATGGACAGTCCGTCACTAACAGGCTGGAGAGGAAGAAGCAGAAAGGCTTTTTTACTGAGGTTTTATAAATTCATGGGAAAGTATATCTGAGTTTTTATTTTCAAGGATAATGGATTCATAGAAATCAGAAGTGACGGGTCTGATTTTCTGTCCAGTGATTGTGCAAACACTCAGTTTGTTTACACGCACAGTGAGGCTCGTTCAGGTGCTTTAACTGGACTTTTGGGTCCACAAACGTGAAACCTAAGAACAGTTTTGGACCCAGGTAAGTTTAAGAACTAAAACTGAAAGGCCGAGAGAATAAATGTCTCTAAATCTAGTTCACAGGTCAGGCTAAGGGGACGTCTTCTCAGGACAATGAACAGTGAGGATCTGGTCGCCTCCTGCTTCCTCCTCCTCACCTCCTCACCTCCTGCATCAGCTGAACTCAGCAGGTGTGCTCCATGATCAGGTGTGCCCCCCTCAAAAGAGTCTGGGTAAAAGAGGACGTATGGTCATCCTAGTGTTTTAAAAATCCAGTTTCAGTTTGAGTTGTACCAGAAATTATTATATGTAATGAATGAAAGAGAATTTTTCTTTTTTTTGTTTGTTTTTTTGGGCTTAAACCTCCAAGGTCGAGAAATACAACCTGCACATGTACAAAAAACTGTAGTTCCTCCAGCGGCCACTTGAGGCTGATTTCAAAACTGAGTCAATCCCCATTTTGGCATCAAATTGAATTAGATTAAATTAAATTAAACTTGATTCAAACTCAGTATTCCTAACTGAGGTCCATGCCTGAATGAATTCATACAGTAATATTTGATCACAGTCCTCAGGAGTTGGAGGAAATGTTGCAGCTAATCCAAGAGCTAAAGCTCAGGGACGGTTGGACTGATCGGCATCATCTTTGCTCCTGATATCCCTCAAATGTTAGTCCACATGTGTGCTGAAAATCATGAGTCCAGGACCTCATTTTTTTGTGTATTTGTGATGATTTTCGGCTTGAACGAGTATCTCTGAAAAATTTGAGAAAACACAGCACCACCTGCTGGTAACAAGAAGTCACTGCTTCCACTTAACACCGATCTAATCCTACCAGGTTCGCCAGAGAACGTGCTCCACTTCCCCACAGCTGGCCTGCAAAGTGGCAGTGATAGACGGTGCTGAGCAGAGCTACACGTTTGCATGAAAACTGCACATTGCTGAACCACATTTACTTCTTTGACTTATATTCCTCTCACTCTCTCTGATTATATATTTCATGTAAAGTCTCATTTATGCTCAACGTTACATACAGATCCTGATACAGACCGAGCTCTCTGTCCGTGCTTTGCGTTCTTTTCGTTCGTATTTCTGCTCATATCCTTAAAGTTTATAAATATGGACTAGACGGAGAAGTACCACCAGAAACTGTGGGGGCGAGATAGCGCAGGGGGACAGCTAGTCGCTATGCACCACTCACAGGCAAAGCAAGTTGTCAAATGCCCCGACGGACATCCTGAAGTACTGAAAATGATGATTGTCGTCAATTTCTCTCATCAGTACGACGAGAGAAAAGAATTCTCCGTCCTCAAACTGCGAGGCATTTAGCGGCCTAACAAACCACCTTCTCCTCCAACGCTGCCTCCGATTCCGTCTCCTATGCAAAATACACATCATCACTCGCTCCTCCACAGTCGCCAAGTTTGTTTTTGTTTGTTGTTGTCGTCAGAAACTTTTGACTCCGGCCTGCCCCCTGGTGGGTGTAATGCCTAACATCCATGCCAACGTAAAGGACGAGTGGAAGTATGTGGGCGGCAATGGAACCATCGTTTGAAACGGACGCGTGCATTTCCAAATATACGGCGAGCATAAATGAGCCTTTGGTCTGTTAGTCATGGCTTCAAATCTCAGTGAGCGGGATAAACAGATGGATGTATCCATGAATCGTCTATATAATCATACTAACCAGCTGCAGCCTCTGCGACTGAGCAGAGCGAGTCAGAAATACGACATGAAACGGTTTGTTTTCTTTCTCCTTTAATGTGTCGTACAAAGACCGAGTCTGTCTGCGTAGGTGTGTGCAGAGCTGCAGTTACACCATATAGAAACTATGCTAGGAGCCACATTTAAGGGCTTCTTCACAGAGAAGATCTCTGCGATTTTTATTTGGGAAAACACTCTGCAACTGTACGGGTAAATGTGATACTATAATTACACAATGTACACACTACAGCATGTAATTACACCCTAAAACCACAGCCTGCGGTTTCTTTCAACAAGAAAGGCTGCTTTTGAGAAAAAAAGTAAACCAAAGAGACCTCTGTGCTTTCGCTCTGCTCGTCTTTGGCGTGCAGCTGTGAGGAGAACTTTGAGGCTGAGGTCGGCGAGGAGGTTTCTGGTGTGGATTTATTCGACAAGGTCAGATTTTGATTTATGGAATCTGTGAATTTAAGGTCAGCCACTCGCTTGCTTAAGGAAACATAAACCTAAATAAAAACGGTGAAGAAATTACAAGCTTACCAACAAATGCAAACTCACACTGAAATAAATGCTGTGTTTGTTCTGTGTCAGAATTTGCTGCCAGAGTTTAGATAAATCAATATTTTGGTATTTATTGGTGCCAAACCTCGATTAAAAAGTCTGATCATCTCTAACCTGTCCGTCCAAATTGAAAGAAATGAACAGAAAAACTCAGATTGGACACGAGGACCATATAAGGAGTTCATGTTTGCATCAGTTCAGGGTTAAAACCACCTCTGCTGGAACAGCACAAACAGAGAGCAGGACATTCTTTCTGCTTTATTGTGTTTTGCTTCAAATACATTAAAAAAACACTCTGTCACCCATGTAAACACGAGGATGAGTTCATACAGACTGAGTGTATTTCTGCACTATATAATCACACTCACCGCAGTTGTGCAGTCGGGCTTGTTTACAGTAAAGAATAACATATACGGTACATGCTTTTATTTGTCCTTGAAAACCAAACGTAAATATGAGAGTATAGGAAACAGTATTTATATCTGATGTAGGCCAGACACCAAACCGCTGCTGTTTTCTCAGAAAAGACGAGTTAGGAACGTTGTGGGCGCTTTTATTTTTCGTGCTTTAGCGAGCGGTTTAAAGAAGTACAATGACAGGAAGTGTGTCAGACTGTTTCAAAATAAAGGCTGAAAAAGAACATGTTGGCACCAAAGTTGTATAACATCATAAACCAATGTCTTGAATGTCAAAATTTCGGGATTAAAGTCAAAATTTTTAAAAAGTCAAGATTTTGACTTTATTCATGACATTTAAACATTTTGTAATCTCGAAACTTAATGACATAATTTTGATTTTTTTTATCTTGCAATTTTGACTTTATTCATATCAACTTTAATCTCAAAATTTTGACTTTAATCTCATGATTTAGATTTTTTTAATCTCAACATTTTGACATTATTCATGACATTACGACATTTTGTAATCTCAAAATTTTAACTTTAATCTTCTGATTTTAATTTTTAATCTTGAAATGTCAACTTTATTTACACAATTTAGATTTTTTAATTTAAAAATTTAAAAGTTAAATGTTTTAAAAGTTCAAATTTCGACTTTAACTAAAAATTTCGCCAATTTGCAATCTCGAAATTTTGACTTTAATCTCTGAACTTCAGTTATTAATCTCAAAATTTTGACTTTACTGACATAATTTCGATTTTTTAATCTCAAAATTTTTTCTCGAATCTTGAAATTTCAACTTTGACATAATTTCAGTTTTTAAACTTGAAATTTTGACTTCAATCTTGAGATTTCAATTTTTAATCACAAATTTGAAATTTGGACTTTGACATAATTTTGATTTTTTTAATCTTGAAATTTCATCATTATTCACATTTCAAATTTTTAATCTCGAAATTTCCACTTAAATCTCCTTCCAGTAATTGTTTTTCTTCTCTTCACGTGTCCCTAACCCTCTTTCGTAGTTCTCATTAAGGTTTTTTTTATCATGTGTTGGAAACATTTTTTCCTTTTTTCCAGTCCTGCACCTTTTTCAGAGTTGTTCTTTTCTCCACCTGCAGGTTTAATTTCCTCTCTCTCTCTATTGGAAACATGTCACAGAATACTGAAACTCTCCATAACACAGTCAATCATTTCTGTGCTATTAAAGCGCTCTTCCACGGCGCAGTTTATTTTATCATCATTTTAATTGCACTCGCCTGTGGTGCTTTCTAACTCTGCAAATCCGTATTGATCTGCGGGAACAATGGAGACCTGGCGAGGCTTTGTAGTCCGGCTCCTGACAAAGGGTCTGGTGCCGGCCGGAGACAGATAGAAATGCAGCGTGGAGCTCAGAGCGGCTGCACTGGGCTGTCACTGCACACTGAGGAGCGTTTAATCTCCCTCACAGCTCATCCATCACCGGCTGACAGCACCGGAGACAGCAGCTATGTTCACATGCACACGGCGTTCACTTCTTAACCTGGTTACTCGGGTGTTATCAATTTTTCCAGTCTCGGGGACGAGGAAAGGACCTTTTCAAGTAAATAAGAATTTACAGAGGATAGATGAACGCAAAGACAAAAACGCTGAGACGCATTTTCAGAGGCGTTTTTCACTCACATGCACAGTAGCAGGCCGGTTTTGATCGATGCATATGAATGTCATACCTCTGAATAACCTCGCTAAGCTCATAATTTAATTATGAGCTGTAGGTAGATTTGGATGTCAATAAAACAGCATGAACAGCCAGCGGTACCTGCCATGGGAATCCTCATATATTCTCCCTGCAGGCTGTTAGAGGAAGCCTCTGTGACTGCGGCTGCTGGGAGCTCAATCCTTTCATATATTTTATGGAATTATAAACTTCTTTTGACAAGAGGAAACTCAATCCCGCTGTATCAAAGGTTCACGCAAAGGTCTGCCAGCTTAACCTGAATAAGACTTTAAGTATGACCAACAGCAGGGTGGCTCTGAACCGCTTTTTGATCCCCTCTATACAGAGCTCCAGACACTGCATTGTGGTCTAACATTTGGCGGTTTTTATTTATGTTCATTTAGTGTGATTTTCACTCTGTTATCCAAACAAATGGAGCATTTTGCTCAGAACGACGCCGTAAAAAGTGGATTTTAAACCGATGTCTGCGGTCAGGAAGAGTCTGCTAATACCTGTATCTGCAGCGACCTCTTCGTCAGAGTATGTTAGCTCGCTAACTTGGTTTTTGTAGCTGTGTTTATAAAGCATTAGATTGTCATTAAATGCTCATTTACTTAGTGATCATTAGGATTAAGTCACTTGTAGTCTAATATGGACGTCATCAGGACTTTTTAGGCTTTTTAAGCAGACTCAAATCCCGCCACCCCTACAACAAGGCAGCGCAAGAGATGCTCAATTCCACCTCTGAGGACATCTCCAGCAGTGGCGGCTGCTGGTCTTTCAAGGAGGGGAAGCTCATTTTTCTGGCCTACATCATAATTGTATTTGTTTATTAGTATGTAACAGAACAGAGTCGCCAAACACAACGGCAGTCGTTTTTAACAAAGACAAAAGTCGCTGAGGATCGGTAAAGTCTCTGGAGCAGTTAAGAACAATGGAATGAATGACTTGGAAAATGCTCTGGTAGATGTTTTATTCTTCAAGATCGCTGATTCGCTTGTTTAGCTGTCAATCAAAAAAGGATTTCGCCTCAGACAGCTCATCCAATCATGAATGCAGAAGCTTGGAGTCCGGGAGAAAGTCGGGACCGCCCTCTCGCCATAGAACTCCAGTGAAGCTGGGCTTCCGATGGGCGGGACAAAGCCCAGCATTTATCCAATGAGCGTCTAGTTTCGCTGCTGGAACAACCCACTTTAAGCTTCCACATTGAAGTCAGCAGAAGCCCAGCGTCCGACTGTTTGAAGCGCTGAGGCGCTGCGAGGATGAATGAGAACGAAGTTATGCCGGTTACCTGTGATTATCAGCTTCTTATCACAGTGTCTGAACAAAAGTTGAAGGCTTTCTAGTGCGTATTTAGTTAATGAAATGTACACACAGCCGTACGTATTTCACCACTTTTTCTTTTTTAGGGGGGGTGACATTTCAAGGGAAGCCGAGCTTCCCTTGCAGTCTTAGAGCAATCGCCAGTGATCTCCAGAGATGCTTGGCTGGCAGCAGCTTGGAAGCAGGAGTGGCAGTCAGCTGGGCCCTCTCGCATCCATCGTTACATTTGGGACCCAGGAGGTGGCGCCATAGGAGGAGACAACCAACCGTGCCAGCGATGGACAACACTGAACCGCCTAAGAACAAGGGTTGGTTGCTTTGACCCTGAGCAGACTGACGACCATTTAATCAGCACCTGCCCCTTATACAGACCGCCTTCAGAAACCAGCTGCTTTGACCCAGGATCAGAGATGTTGGCATGGCTACACGATACTGAGTTGGACCTCTGATGTTACACGAAAGAAGAAGGTTGCCCTCGCGCTTTGGGTGACATTGAGTCGGTAGACTGGGCTCTGATGGTCAACCTCAAACTAAGTCCAAATCAGAGGCATCTCCTCAATGAGAGCAGAGGATGAAGGCTTGCAGAGATGTTTGAAGGACCTGATAGTTGGTGATATCAACATTGTCGGCAAATCTTGAAGTTCTGTCAAAAACTCACCTATCTTAATGAGATACAGTCACGTTCAACATATTTGCTAATTAACTGCTCATATCTTTGTCTTGAAACTGGATCTAAATCCGTACAACACCAACTCTTTGCAATGGTTTGCTTCATAGATGTTTTCTTCATGTTTACTTCCTGCCCTCCATCTGAATTAAAGGGACATTTCGGTATTTTTAATGTGGGGTTGCATGGGTTATATGAAACCAGTGAGTGTATTACCCACAATGGATGGCGGTCAGTTTTGCCTCTTTGATGAGAAACTGTTTAAGGAAGCAGCAAGCCGACTAAGAACTGCAGATGGGGTCCACACTGCAACGTAATTTAGCAGATTTTGATGGAAAGTTCTCGTTTCTATGGTTACGCTTTTTGCACAGTTTGCAGACCGAACTGCTTTAAGGTTTTGGAAGTTTTAGTTTTTTTTAGTTTTCTTTATATTTTAATTAGTACTTTGAATCAACATGTTTTCTCTCTTGACGTTCATCCAAAATGCAAGCAGACAGTTTTTAAAGCCCGGATCTAAACATTGAGATTTTTAAGGCCTGATTTGCAAAGTTGCAAAAAGTGGACAAGTGCGCTTCGCCGTTGAAAGATTCATGAGCCGTGCAGTTATTTTGCAGAATAAGTAAGTTTGTTTCATCACGCTTTCAGGATACCGGCCCACAGCGGAGTTCTGGTAACCGCGGGGGGTGAAGCTTTCATCCTGTCCTGTTATTGATCCGTCTGCAGGATGGTATCTTTAGCGGATCTGATTTGGCTGAGAGGAAGGTCGTTTCCAGCAGGAAAGAGGGACAAACTAATGAACAAATACATAAACATCAAAATCAAGAGGAGGGGAAAGGAAAACGCTCACATGCAGAGCAGAGAACCTGTACAGTAGAAGAGGAAGTCAGAATTATGTGATAGGAAAATCAAAACAGCTACAGAGCTTCTGAAAGTTTGACTTTATCAATCGAGTCGGAGTTTGAAGAAGTTCAGACAAACCTTTGGAAACGATGATGGAGGTGAGTTTACAGATGGGATTTTAAGGAGGATCTTGAGGGAAACGTCCACCATGATCAGTGATTAGTCCATCATGTTAAAACACCACAAAGGCACATGTTTATAGATCATCTTTGGAAACAGAGTTCAGATACAGGAGCACGATGTTTTCACTCACTCCTGTGCTTCAGTACAATGATGAACTTTCATTTATAGACCTAAACCATCTATTAACTTGCCTGTTTGGCACTCTGCATGTTAACCACTGTTGTGCAAGTATTTCAGCATTTTCCAAAACTTTCATGTTTTCCGTCCACATAACATTTCAAAACTTTCCACTTTTAAAAAACCCTGAAAACTCAGTTTAAGCTTCCAGGAAGTCAGACTCTGAAGTGTGACCGTATGAGGGTTCAAAACAAGCTGCGAAAACTTAAAGTCCAGTAAAAGTTGGTGAAGTTGGTGTTAAATGACTGCGTCTTTTGCTATATGTTAAAAACCTGGCAGCAGCATTTAGAGTTAAATGCACTGTTTGGATGTTACACGTGCTCATGCTAGGATACGGTGCACTGAAACAAGGGCGGTGCCAGTTTTTAACCATAGACTGCATATAGGCGAGTTTCTTGTGTACAAACAATACTAGGTGTGTGTGCAACCATGAGGGCAAAAGCCTGCTTCGGAGTGAACTGATATCAGTGAAGATGCCGTATTGTTTGCAAGTTCTCCCTGACACAAAAAAAACAGAAAAAAACATTTGCTGAAATGTTCATGAATTTCACTCAATTTACCAGGTTGTGTCGTTGTTTTAGATGTTTCTAATATCAGGAGCAGGCTTGCAATGTTTGCCGATTGTTTGTTTTGCCGATTCGTGAAGTTAACAGCACAACAGCTCCTCGTCATATTTGCTAGTAAACAAATAAGAAATGTCCCGCTTTCTGCCCCCTGGCTGAGCACGCATACTTGTGATGATGCTGCACAGAAACCCGTCCATACTATGGACAACTTGGTTCAAGCTCTCGCTAATTCCATGTTTTTTCTCCATTTTTATGAAACCAACATGCGCAGTTGCGTTGTGCGCATTAGGCGGGAGAGTCGCTGAGAGTCGCTGTGATGACGCTCGGCTCAAACAGCGTATCCCCCAGGCTAGCTACTGTATCAGGTGTCAATCAAAGAAAACATGAACCCTTGAATAACTTTTAAGAAAGATAGAAAAGAATAGAAAAAAGAGGACTTGAGCACAAACCAGTCTGACAGTAACTACATGTCTACATCACAACCAGGGGGGAGAAACATTTATATTCTTTGTAATTATTTTGTAAAGTTTGTCCACAGCTCCATAGGGATTCCTGGAGGAGGCGGGATTTATGATCTATACTGCAGCCCGTCACCAGAGGGTGCTGTTTCACCCAGCGAGGAGGCAGACGGCGTCCATTCTATATACAGTCTATGGTTTTAACGGAGCATAGAGCTGAGTGTCGTCTGTATAGAAGTGAAAGTTTCAATCATGTCTACGCAGGATGTAAACAGTGAAGAAGAGGGGACCTAAAATAGAGCCCTGAGGGACTCCTCATGACAGAAAAGCATTTGAGGGGCGGGCATTTCCAAGAATTCTGGAAAATAAACATCTGATGGATAGGAAGTGATCTGGTCTTGTGCAACATTGACTGTAAATGTATGAGTCCTGTATTTCTTTATGTTATTATCAACAGTTTTTAAAAGTCTTGACCTCTCTTTGAAAATAGTTTTTCTGTTAGTATAAGTTTGATATTTTTAGAGGTCATATGTCCTCAAAAATGTTCCCTTTATTTGAGGAAATAAATCAGAGTAAGTTGGTAAATGTTCGCTTTAATCCTCGCTCCGGTAATGCCGACATCTCTCTTCTAGCGCCAGTCTGAATTTGCCCCAGAGTGCTGTGCCTATTTTTCCAAACTTCTCCCTCTTCATTGAGTGTCAGAAATGTATCCCACACGTCAATCAACAATGCCAAGCTCCTGCGATTTAACCTGATGAGGTCATCGTGCGTCAGCCTCGGGGAAAATATCCACCCGTCGCCATCTGCCGCAGCCGTGAACTTCCTGTTCACACCTCCTATCCATCGCCTGTGCGCCGTGCCTTCTGAGCGCGCGGAGCACATGAGTTCTGTCTCAACGGTAGCGGCTAAGTTTCACAGACCCACTTTAAATTCCACGTCGGTAGCGTTGTGTTTCCTCGGTGTCATCAGTCATGTTCATTTCTAAAAAAGGAGGAGGAGGAGGAGGAGGAAGGGTGTGTTTCTGTGTGTGATCAGAGCGCTCTGCAAGGTCAAACAAAGAGTGAGAAGCAGAGGTGAGAAAAAAAGTGATGTACGATTGTTGCCGGTTTGTGTCGTTACCTTTGTACTTGATGCCGTTTTCTAGGTCAGACGTCTGGTGAAAGGGAGATTTGTGCTCTCAGTGGGGTTACCTGCAGAGGGCTTAAGGTTACAAAAATAAAAGCGTGGGGGCACCAGAGAGAAACAGAGAAAGAGGAGAGAGTAAGAGAGAGCTGCCTTTCTTTGTTGTTTACCTTGAACGTGAGATGGGAGATGGTTTTTCGCATGTGGAACCGCTCGCTCGCTCGCTCGCTCGCTCGCCCGGGTCTTAATGACTCCTAATTTCATGGCAAATAAACTAAACAATGTTGCCTTTGAGTCTCGCTGCACGGCTACAACACTAACGCACATTCTTTTCCAGTCAAAGTGCAGCTTTAATGTTCCTCTCTTATCGTCTCATCGACCTTCGAGTGCAGCGGGTTTGTTGTGTTTTCTGTTTGTCGGTGTTTACAGGCCCGACTCTCAAATATAAAGCGTTTAAAGTTGTTGCTTTTAGACTCATTATTCCAGTTTTTATAATAAACTAAAGATAGGAGATGATTTATGACGTGCAGTAATATATCCCAACATTATATGTGTGTGTGTGCTGTATTTAATGGGCATGATTTATTGGCCTCGGTACCCAGGAGGCTTAAATTAGCCCTTAATTATACTTCATTGTTAGCGATATCTCAATATTTTAAAACCCTTTTTTTAGGATTTTTGGTGCAGAATTGTTTACACTGGCAAAGAAGAAACCTTGTGTTTCCAGAAGAACTACTTCACAGGAGGTTAAAAACTGAACGCTGCAGGAGATTAAATCACAAGTTATTCAGGTTTGTTGAGTTTTATGAAGCTTTTTTTGGGGCTTAAAGGAGCAAAATCACAGGGGAGCAACTGGGGACACAGATATACTCACACACTGACAAACAATGAACCAACAAGGACAAATTGGAAGACAGGGACAAAATAAACACGCTGAAAAATGAGCAACAGGTGAGGCAGACGAGTCACAGGTGAAACTGATGAGTGATTAACGAGGGAGGGAAAACTAGAAACACAAGAAACAAACTACTACAACATAAAACAGGAAATAATGCATGAAAACTGATCTAAAGAATAAAACACAGAACAGGAGGGAAACAGGGACTACAGGGGGACAGAAACACGAGGAAAAAAACACAAAATATGCTCAAATAACAAAACCAGGAGAAGAAAACTAAATCAACAGAACACATCATGACAGACCCAAGGTTTCCGCCTCACAGTGGCAAAACATATTTATGTATTTTTTGGACTTATGTAACTGAATGAAAGAATTTAAGAGTCAGAGATTCAGGAAAAAATAAGATTTTTTGTTGAGAAACTTTCAAATATCGAGAATAAACTAAAAATGTTAAGAACTGATCTGCTACACATGAGCATTCCTTGAGTCACTTTTTTAATTGCCAGAATTTCATCGCACAACGGCGACACGCTGCCAATAATTAAAAAAGTTATGAGAATTATTTTGCTTTTCCAAAATAAGGTTTTTACTTGCACTGCACTGATTTTATTCTGAATCTTATAAGTTTTGTTTGCATGATGATTCATACGTTTTTTTATGACCGGCGGTAAAATTTTCAGGAAAACTTAAAATGCTGCAAAATACATAAAAATAACTGACATTTTATATTATAGGAAAAAAGGTTGACTTATCTGGCACTCCAGTCTTACACATTGTGCCTGATGGCAGCCCCCCTGAGATATTCCTATTGGTCGATTTGACTGGTGCGAGTGCGAGTGCGGGCGCCATGCAGGCTATGCTAGCTCCACATTAGCTCACGAGGGACCGTTAGTTAATTTCGGCTACAGGACGCAACTACCTGGGGGCGGAGTCACAGAGTCCCGCAGAGTAAATTTTAGAGTTTTTTAGGTCGGGTCGAGTGTTTTTTATGTGCTTCTAACTCAGTAAGGCCCAATCTCAAACCGCCCCGTACACACTTGCCCTTCACTACCGAGTCTCACTCAAAATGAAGCTACACTCACAGCTGTGGAGTGAATTGAAACGGGGGGGTATAACCAAACGCAGCATGGCAGTGTTTATTTTCTTAGTAAACGGACATCGTGTACAGTTCTGCCTCGTTTCTTCATCCTCGCAGTAAAATCATAAATCCAGTAACCATCACAGTGACAGGAGTTAATTATACCTCTGATTGTTAGTTATTCCGCGCGTCTTTGAACCCTTTTACCATTAGACATATACCTGCACGATCAAATCAAACCTCAGCACAGATCATGATTTCCGACTCCTGTTTGATCTTTCCAAACTACGTCTTTTGTGATTGGACACATACGGAACTTATATTTGTATGTTGTGGATGCGCAAACGGAGGGAGAGTGTATAGGGCGAGTGTGTAGGGGGCAGTTTGGGATTGGGCTTAAGTCCACGCGACACAAACTTAAAACTTCCATACCAAACCGCAGACATTTAAATGATTTTATAGCTGGACAAGGTTGGACAGCCCCCGAAATGAGGACATATGTCACCCGAGGCTATAGTTCGTTTAATGCTGTGTGGTTTAGCATTTGGGAGATCATTAGCACTCTCCTTTGGTGGTGCTTTGGATACATATTTGGGTATATGACCGTCCTTGTAACTAGGATGCACTCGTGAGGTTTTCGCCATGCAAAAGGACAAAACAGACTGTTGTAATCCAGCTGCTTCCTCCTGTAGCCTCTTGGTATCTGCAACACCAGGAAGCTTTTATCAACAGCACTGTTACTGTGTGCTGTATTAGTATTTATATATTCATATAGTCTGTGTTTTGCCTCTGGCCTCTGTGTTTTATCTCTAGGAAGACTTGCATTTGAAACAACTGTGTTTTTTCAATGGCTAATTAGTAAAACAGTTTTAACACTCAGATGAATATTAATCGTCTCTGTTGCTGGGTGAGAGCAGTTAACAAAACATAAGGTCTCCATCTGCTGTTCAGCCTATTTAAAAAGTGATCTAAATTGATAATAATGCTTTTAATTTATAGGATTTGAAATGTTGCAAGAATGCTTCAGATGAAAATATGTAATCTTGAGACGCTCGCTGTTGTTTGAGCTGCACACGAGGAGTTATGATGTGTTTGGATGACCTTTCCCTCTGTAAATCACTGCAAAAACGACTAGAGGGAATCGTAAACACACCCTGCCCTCCTATCCCTTGAATCATCCCACAAAATGCTATTGAACGCTGAGATACCATGACCCCAGACCAACATTTTTCCCTCATGATCGCACATCATGGGCGAGCATGTCAAAACAGCTCAGAGACGACTCTCAACAACCAGGGCCTCCCCGTCACCCTCTAATCCAGCAATTAGAGACAAGGCCAGGGAGATGGAACAGATGTTCCATAAATGGGAATGGCAGAGGGAGTCCTGGCCGCTGATGGTATTCCTAATCTCTCCAAGGAGGACGACCAAGGGGAGAAACGGAGCAGCCACCCTGCAGCAGCACAGACTTAGGTCAAACACTGCTCCTCTAATCACTCTTTGGGTCGTTTTAAGCATCATTGGGTACCTAAAAGGTGCAGTTTACCACTTGAAAGGTCACAATGCTTTCAGTAAAGTGATTGTCGGATTACTCGACTATAAGCAGACCGAGCCCCTCCCCCACATCGTGGTAGGATTGTATGTCTGCCGTTTTTATTTTTTTTACATTTTTCTGCGACCACTTTTGAGAGTAAAGCGCGGTTCTGCAGACCTCCCTCTCAGACTGTACAAGAGTGAGCCTGCATATTTCATTTCACACTTCCTTTAATTGCTCTTATTCGATGAAAGCATGCTGCAAAGTCCACAATCTAAAATATATGGTCTCAAGCTCAAAGTTGAAAGCAAATCAAGGCGTGTCCGACCACTTTTTGGTAGGTAAGCAGTGCGATTATTTAAAAGGTACATTTTGGGTGTAACATGAATCAACCCCTGATCAAATGGCTGCTTTGAATTCTGGTTAGTCTCTTAAAATATCTGCAGTCACGGTGGTCGGCGGCATTTAAAGTAAGCGGTTATACAGACTGGAAAAGACAAACACTTAAGCTGTGTTCGAATACCTCTCTGAACATATTTCTGCAGATATTCAAATGTGCGCATGATGGAGAGCTTGTTGACAGTTTCAGTCTGGAGTATTTGGCCCATGAAGGGCTGAGGGTATTCTGAGATACAGTACATCATGATGTATGGAGACAGAAGTCCCTGTGTCCCAGTAAACACTGAATATGAGAAAAAAAAAAAGTCAAGATGAGTTTGAGCCCTGCTGCGTCTGAAAAGCACCAGAATTTGAGCTATAGACTTTTAAGTAGGGTGACCATGCGTCCTCTTTTACCCGGACATGTCCTCTTCTTTAGGGGCTGTCCGGGTTTGTCCGGGGAAGTTTATAAAATCCTTCAAATGTCGGTTTCAAGTTTGTGTCACGTGGACTTATTGAGTTAGAGGTGCATAAAAGACACTCGATCTGACCTGAAAAACTCTGAAAATTAACTTTTTGCAATTCTGCCCCCACATAGTCATGTCCTCTTTTTAGGAAGTCAGTTTATAGTCACCCTGTCTTAAGGCCATCTAAATATCGTACAAATGCACACCTTAAATGTCAATAAAGTACTGTCCCACTGACCTCAGG